ACATACAACACTTGTTTACAGTTTCTGTTTCTGTTAATTCGGCCTGTTGACCTGTACAGGGTGTGGGTCTAATTAACAGAACAATTCATGGTAATAATGGAGCTTCCACACCTCTGGACCTGACCTGGATACACCTGTTGTTCTCTTGTTTGTTTTGATTTAGGTTTGAGGATGGAGTTGAAAATAGGAGATAGACGGTGTCTGAGTCTCCATTTCTGTTTAGAGAAGGATTCTCTTTCTTAACAAAAATGTTTTCTTTCACTCCCCTCTCAAACCAATTCTTTTCTCTGGCTCAGATCTGTACCTCGCTGTCTTCAAATGAGTGACCTGTGGCTTTTAAGTGGAGATGTACAGCAGACTGAGGTCCTGTGTTGCTCTCTCGTCTGCGTTGGTTCATCCTCTTGTGAAGTGTCTGTTTAGTTTCTCCAGTGTAGCGTTCACTTCAGTCTTCACTGCACTGAATAGAGTAGACCACATTGATTTGTTTGTGTCTCGGTGTTTTGTCCTTTGGGTCGACCAGTCTTTGTGTTCAAAGGTTTGAAAGCTCCATTATGGCCTTGAATTGTTCTGCTAATTAGACCCCACACTCTGCACAGGTCAATAGGCCGAACTAACAAACAGAAACTGTAAACAAGTGTGTGTGTTAGTTTCAGTGTAGTTAGCTCCTCCCTGCAGACAGATATAAGGAAGTTTTCATCAGTGTCTGACCAGAACTGAAGAAGCAGCTTGGATGAGCTGAGAAACATCTTCAACCAAACTAACTTTTGCCCAGTCGACAAACTGAATTTTCTCCTCAACATGGATTCTGTCTGGACGACTGAGGGATTCTTCACATGAGCAGTTTGTGTTTACATTGTGCTCTATGGGAAAAATCCTTTCTAAACTGGGGGGATTTTTTCACTGTACCAGTGAGTTAACCAGGCGGGCACCACCTAGTGTCTCCACTTGATTTCATTTCTCTCCAGAGACTAGGTCAGGAATCAGAAAACGCTAGACGGTTTGCAAAAACCCCAGAAGTTGTAAACCGCGCACCGGCCAGAGCTGTGAAGTCATGATGTCAAACTCCCAATTTTTTATTTCAATGACACCACAATGTGACGATTCAGGCCAAGTCCTTCTTCAGACATGTCCTGAAGAACATCATGGTGTCACTGAAATAAATATTTAGGAGCTTCAAGAACTACAGTGTGGAACTCTTTCCTTTTTTGTACTCGTTTAAGCAACCCCTCAAAATCATTAACTTATTATTATTTTTACTTTAATTTACTTTACTTTTTGTTGGATGTACATGCCTCTATCTACCAGTATCGCTTAAAAAGAGTCTCAACTGGTTATTTTTAAGGTCTTTCCTGCCTGCGACCATCAAATTAATCAATTAAGTGAAAAGTAATCATGGCGTGAAGAAAAGCCTTTAGTTCCAGAGTGTTTAGGGAGTCTGTCCATCAGGCCTGCTGTTTTATATGGATATTTTTCACGTACAACCCCAGTTTACATGTACGTGAAACAGAGAATGAATGAAAATAAAGTGTTTAAAGGTGTTTTTTCTCATGCTCATATTAGGCTAGTGTCTGATCTCTCTTCTAATGTTGTTTCCTGGAGTTAAGTTTGTTTCGTTCACACGTGTGCGTTCGTTTTTGAGGAGGTAACACATAATATTGCATAATAAAGGACCTAATAAAGGACCTAAAGGAGCGAGTCTGTGGGTCTGCGGTCAGTCCTCCGTGTCGTCCCTCTCCTCGAGCCTCAGCCGCACACCGAGCTGAATAAATGACTGGACTGTTTTGTACAGCTCTGCTCCTAAACCTGGTCACTGCTCTTCCCTCGGCACCCGGCCAAATACCTGAGGGATTTTCTCATGGACCGAAGCCAAAAAAAATGCACTAAAATCAGAAAGAACCAGGCGAGTGTTTCCAATTCAACCGTGAAAAAACGACATTCATCATTCACGTTAAAACACTCAGGAATACAGTAAGTGCTCCACTGTGTTTCTAAGCTCCATGCAGCTTCACCATAAACATTTGGATAATTTCTCTACTGAACTAAAGTTCAAACAGAGCATTTTGAGCTTTGGAGATGTGAACAGATTCATTATAAAGAGTTACTCAAACAACTCCAGGTGTTTTTGAGGAGGTAACAGCATTATATTACGGCTTGAAGCTCACAAGAATCACATTTGTGTAATTTTAACTTTAAGATTTAACTTTAAGACTAAAGGGGTGTTCAGACCAGAGTGTCAAAGAGTCGAGTTTCTATATCAAGTCTATGTGGACACTTGTCTTGGGCGTCCTGCGTTTTTGCGGCGTGTCTTAGAGCGTCAGCGCGCCGCGAATCTGGCGACGATGCTTCAGACGCGCGTCCAAGGCGTCAGCGTCAGAAGTTGAAAATGCTGAACTTTTCGCGTCAAATGCGCCACGTCAACCAATCAGGGACGAGTATCCAAAGACGTAGCGACGTTATTATCAGGAAGAAAGAGAAAGACCCGAGAACCAGAGCGAGAGCCACAAACATTAGTGGAGCATAAATATAAACACCACAATCACCAAGAGGATCACGAGGACTACACAAGAACTGGACCAGGACTAAACCAGGACTAGACCGGGACTAAACAAGGACTAGACCGAGAATAAACCAGGACTAAACCAGGACCAGACAGGGACTAAACAAGGACTAGACCGGGAGTAGACCGAGGGACTAAACCAGGACTAGATCGGGACCAGACCGGGACTAAACCAGGACTGATCCTGTGTCATTAGTGGAGTATATGTATATATACGCCCCAATCGTCGACCCGATTGCCTCCGCTGAAGTTTTACGTCATAAAAACACTAAAGTCTCTCTCAGTCTGGTCTGACATCGTTTCGGGAAAAGAGCGGGACCGGGCTCTTGTTTCCAGGGCAATGGACACGTGTCAAGTATTTTTCTCCCGTTCATCCACGGCATCATAGACGTGCGTCGAGCACATCTAAACTCAAATGCAAAGGCGTCCAAATAGAGGCGTCTAGGGCATTTTTTGATGCTTTGGTGTAAACACTTTAAAACTAAAATTTAAGACTACGTTTACACTGAAACGAATCACCGTATCGGAAACGATTTGCGTCCAGACACGTCGTTTCTGTGTCCACAATCGAAGTCTTCCCTCTCCACAAAGCTTTGAGCACATTTGTTTACGTTTTACAGAAATGAAACTTAAAACCACACGACTCATTTGCATAAACTGAGTGCTCAAAAATCAGCTCTTTCCTTGTGTCACTGATGCGGTTCAGATTCTGTCGGACTAAAGGACACGAGTCAGTGGATTATGAGTTCTTTCTGTGACAGAGGGGTGTTCTGCTGATGGTGAGTCTGTTCATCACGTGCACACGATGGTAAAAACAAGAAAGTGGAGCACCGTGTCTGAAGTTGCAGCAGCCGATTTCAAGCCGAGGAAGATGGCAAGTGTGGAAACAGTCTTTTTGTGGACCGTGTACTCGCAAGTAGTTGTAACTTCACTGTTTCCCGTTTGTCTCTGGTTTGTTTAAACTGTTTTTCACAATAGCGTCACATGATCAGTGTCACGAACCCAAAGAATCAGGAAGGAGCGAGTCACAGTGACATGGTCCAATAAGGACGTGACTCGAGCTCCTACATCAGAGTATCAGTGTTTTCAGACGTCCACACGGTCAAGGATCAGATCAGATCGTTCCGTCTCTGGAGCTATTTTCCATCGGATTAGTGTGAACGAACACTGCACTCACAACCAAAACCACCCGAATACAAACTAGTGTGGACGTGGCCTTAGTAACATCAAGATTTTCTCATGTTTTATTAGTTTGTCAAATTTGCATAATTGCCCTTGTAGAAACCTGCACAGTTGTGAACAAATAAAGATGCATCAGTAGGTCCTATTCACGCTTACGTCACAAACCAAGAAGACGTTTGGAAAGATGCAATGACGATTTCCGATGTAGTTCCCTGACACTGGACTCACCGCCCGACTGTGATCAAACCCACTGAAGTAAATGTGATCAGCAGTAAAATGAAGACTGCAGATACTTGGACATTTTCAAATTTTTCTTAGATTTTATCAGACTTATTACCACGAACAGAGCCCGCAGGAAGTAGTCATCGCATTTTTCCAAACGTCTTCCTGATTTGTGACATACGCATGAATAGAGCCTATTCCAGTCCATGTACTAATTTGTTCTTTTCGATTAAGAACGAAACACAATAAAATGTGAAAATAGTTTGTTATTTCATTGTTCTGCAAAGCCTTGGGGCAGGAGTGCTACTTGGATATACAAAAATGTGCAGAATTGTCCTTTTGGTGCTTTTCAGTGTAGGGACCAGTCTCAAATACAAAGTAGGAAAAAACTGAAGCACTCAAAAAGTACAAAATAATTAAAAGCCTTTAATACCTTTTAAAGGCTTTTCATTATTTTGTACTTTTTGAGTGCCTTGTTTTTTTCATACTTTGTATTTCATTATTCTGTTTTAGTGTGAAACAAAAAAAACTGATTTCGACCTCTATTTCTGGTTTATTTACCCCGGAAATTCTGCTGCTGAACTGAATAAAGGAGAGTTTATCGCTGCTACCAGTTTCTCGACATGATGTTCAACAATGACTTTCGAAAACGTGAAGTAAACACGTTGCTCTAAAAGAAGACGACATGTTTGTCCACAAAATTAAGTCCTTTTAGCAGCAGAACCTCCAGGGCAAATAAACCAAAGAGAATAAGATATCAAAATTAAAATAGGCACGATGACTGTTTTTTGATTGGAGTTATTTAAAATAAACTTTAAATTAAATATTGGAAATAGAGGTCGAGATCTGTTTTTTGTTTCACACTAAAATGGAAAAATGAAATAACAAACTTTTTCCATTTTTAATTGAAATTCAAAAGAACAAATGGCACACGGACCAATTCCTCACATCAGATGGAGAGTTTCAATAATCGGGTAACTCAAAATCAGATCATGGTCCAGATTTTTGTGTTTGTGTCAGATACAGAGGGAGGACGTACCGCTCGGAGAACAGCGACGGCCTCGGTGCTGAGCCACGCGGGGAACAGAACGTCGTCGTGGAGGATGCACTCGAACAGCTCGTCCTCGTTCTCCGCCTCGAACGGGGGCTGTCCACACATCATCTCGTACATGAGCACGCCCAGCGCCCACCAGTCCACCGAGGGCCCGTACTCCAGCTCCTGCAGGATCTACACAACACACACATGCACACACAGACACACAACACACACAGACACACAACACACACAACACACACAACACACCAACATACACAATATAAGAACACATGGTGATATATGAGCACGCCCGGGACCCACCAGTAGGACCTTTACAGACCACAGAGTGTGTAAAGAAGTGGACTGAGTGAGGTTCCAGTCAAATGAAGCTCATGGAGGCCCGCGGGTGTAGGGGAGCATTTGCAGCTGAGGTTCGTATGTGAAATTTCGACTCCAAGTAATATAGCAACCAAAGAACCAATCAGGAGCGAGACTGTTGAAGATAACACTGCTTCCTGTCTGCGGAGCGGGTGCTTAGCAACGCTGTCAATCAAACCTGTTGCTAACGCCAGGGGGAGCGACATGATCGGTCTGTTATTAACGTTCATACCTTGGATCACGTGGAGCGGGTTAATACGAACATTATGAGTCCAACGTGACGAGGCTCACAGCAGCAGTGACAGACAGAACAGATCTAGTTTTTAAATAGAAAGTGAAATGGAGCCAGAGTCGATGGAGCCGGAGCCATGTCCATTTACACTCCATGGTACAGATAGAGATATAATTTGTACATAGATATTATATTATTCTATTATTATGATATTATAACATATAGTATTATAACAATTACAGTGATGACAGTGTTATAGTGTTAATGTGCAGTGTTAGTGTCTAGAGTTTTCCAGTGTTATAATGTTATGTATTATGGTGTTATAGTGTTATAATATTATAGAGTTAAAGTGTCATAGTGTTCATGTGGGGCCTCACCTCGGGGGCGATGTAGTCCGGGGTCCCACAGAAGGTGGTGGTAGTGGCTCCGTTCAGGATTCCCTCTTTGCACATGCCAAAGTCGGCCAGTTTACAGTGTCCGTCAGCGTCCAGCAGGATGTTGTCCAGCTTCAGGTCTCTGAGGAGCACAGGACAAAAGGACAACGTCTTCAGACTGAAGCAGGTCAGAGAAATGTTCATTACACATTTAAGTCTTTCCTGTGTTCCTCTTTGGGTTAATAGTTTGATTAAAACTAAAAATGTTCACAACAGCAGCACAGATCCCACAGGGTCAGCACACGTGTCCAACATTTAAACTGATAAAAACAGTCGCACAGATTTCATTTACAAAGCCTTTTGTGTTCATTTAAACCAGGAGTGTCCAAACTTTTTTCATGGAGGACGACATATCTAAGCACAGACGAAGCAGACGGCTGATCGAGGGCCGTAGACTGGTGCTCAGTACAGTGAATAACTGAAATATGTGCATGTTAGAATGAACCATCAGTCCTTTATTCATGCGAAGAGCCTCAAAACCACACATACAATATTAAATCTTGGCTTTGTCATGGTAGATTTTCAAAAAACTTGCAATAAAAAGTACATTTTTCATTGATGCAAGGTAATCTGGGCCAATTCTCCTGGAAGCCTGAGGGCCAAGAAAAAATGATCTGAGGGCTGCATTTGGCCCACGTGCCATAGTTTGGACATGCCTGATTTAAACTGTGACAGAAAACACTTGTATATGAACAGAATGCAGCACAACACAGGATTATGCACATGTACTTTTGGAGAACCAGCACGATGGACCCTGTGATATTTGCGGATTCACAAACTCACAAGAATCCATCTTGGTGCTCGACAGGTGCAAAAGGATCGACAGGTGCAATAGGGTCGACAGGTGATGAGCGACCAATCACAGAGCAGCTTTGAAGTTTGTGTGGACACCGTAGACTGTAAATATAAATGGACACAGCTAACGAACTCGCCACCGCGTTCCAAACAGGAAGTTCACATGTGGCTCTTCTGGCTCCTTCTGACTCTGGCTCCCATTGACTTTCAGTACATCAGAATCCTGTGGCTCCTCTCTCTGTACCTGCTGCTGTCAGCTTCAGCATTTTAGTCTTAAATGTTCGTATCAACTCCACATGAGCCTGGGATTTTTTGTTTTGTTTTATTTAGTCTTTTTAAAAATCCTGTTCCTATAACATAAAGCCTGACTCTTGTAACCATCATGAGCTTCATTTGACTGGAGCCGCTCTCTGTTGGTGACGTCTTTTTCTCTTTGTCCACTTCTTTACACCGTTTATGGTCAAAACCAAAGGTGAAGCGCCCAGACGAACCAGAACAGATTTATCCTGATGTTGTGACGCTTCGACCAATCAGATTTAATCAGTGGTGGAGACTTGAGAGTGACACATCGATGTGAGTCAGGTCACTTTTTCAGTGCGTTTGAAACTGTCCCTGTCCTCGTAATCGAGTTTAATTTGAGCCTCTATTAAAAACAGTCTGAGTCTCTGCTCCTGAACTCGCTGAACTCCGGCTGCACTCGTCACATTCTGACGACGAGATGACGACGGACGCTCACGATAAACCTCTGTGTTTAACATTCACTATTATACACCTCCTCCTCCTCATCTCTTCCTCCTCCTCATCTCTTCCTCCTCTCCTCCCTCTGTTCTTCTCTCCTCTCCTTTTTCTCCTCCTCTCCTCTGTACAGGAGGAAGTCGTCTCCCTGCGTACATACACACAGACTGCTCCTCTTCTCCTCTCCTCTCTCTCTCCTCTGTCCTCTCTCCTTCTCCTCCTTTTCTCCTCCTCCTCATTGTCTTCTCCTCTCTTCCTCCTCCTCTCCTCCTCTCTCCTCCTCCCTTCCTCCTCTTTCTCTCTTCCTCCTCCTCCTCTCCTTCTCCCTTTCCTTCTTCTCTCTTCCTCCTCCTCCTCACTTTCTCATCTCTTCTCTCCTCCTTCTCCCTCTTTGTTCTCCCTCTCTCCTCTCATCTCTTCCTCCTTTCCACCTCTCTTCCTCCTCCTCATCTACCCCTGCTCCTCCTCCTCTCCTCCTCCTTCTTTCTCTCCTTCTCCTCCTCTTCCTCTCTCCTCCTTTCCTCCTTCTCCTTCTTTTTTCTCCTTCTCTCCTCTCCTCTCTCCTCCTCTCTCCCGCCTCCTCCTCTCTTCCTCTTCTCTCTTCTTCCTCCTTTCTTCTCTGTCCCTGTGTACATGCACTCCACCTGCTCCTCCTCTTCTCTTCCTCCCCTCTTCTCCTCTTTCTCTCTCCTCCTCCTCTCTGTCCCTGCGTACATGCCCACCACCTGCTCTTCATCTTCTCTTCCTCTTTCCTCTCCTCCTCTCTCCTCTTCCTGTCCTCCTCTTCCTCCTCCTCCTCTCTGTCCCTGCATACATGCTCTCTCTTCTCTTCCTCTTCCTCCTCTCCTCTCTCTCTCCTCTCCTCCTTCTCCCTCTTTGTTCTCCTTCTCTCCTCTCCCCTCCTCCTCTCTTCCTCTCTCCTCTATCCTTTCTTCTCCTCTCTGTCCCTGCGTACCTGCACTCTGCCTGCTCCTCCTCTTCTCTTCCTCTCCTCCTCTCTCCTACTCTTCTTTTCCTCCTCCTCTTCCTCCCCCTCTTCCTCCCCTCTTCCTCGTCTTCCTCCTCTCTCCTCTGTCCCTGCGTACATGCCCACCGCCTGCTCCTCTTCCCCTTCTTCCTCCTCCTCCTTCTCTCTTCCTCTCTCCTCCTTCTCCCTCTTTGTTTTCCTTCTCTCCTCTCCCCTCCTCCTCTCCTCCTCTTCTTCCTCCTCTCTTCTCTGTCCCTGCGTACATGCCCACCGCCTGCTCCTCCTCCTCTTCCTCTCCTCTTTTCCTCTCTTCTCTTCCTCTCTTCCACTCCTCTCTCCTCTTTTCCTCTCTCCTTCTCCTCCTCTTCCTTCTACTCCTCCTCCTCTCTTCTTCCTCTCCTCTATCCCTGCGTACATACCCACCGCCTGCTCCTCCTCTTCCTCCTCCTCCTTCTCTCTTCCTCTCTTCTCTGTCCCTCTGTACATGCCCACCCCCTGCTCCTCCTCTTCTCTTACTCCTCTCTCCTCCTTCTCCCTCTTTGTTTTCTTTCTCTCCACTTCTCCTCCTCCTCTATCCTCTCTTCCTCCTCCCCTCTGTCCCTGCAAACATGCCCACCGCCTGCTCCTCTCTCCTCTTCTCTTCCTCTTCTCTTTCTCTCCTCTTCCTCCTCCTCTTCCCCCCTTCTCTGTCCCTGCGTACATGCCCACCCCCTGCTCCTCCTCTCCTCTTCCTCTTCCTCCTCTCTTCTCTGTCCCTGCGTACTTGCCCTCCGCTCCTGACGCTCTGATAACGGCGTGATGAGAGAGGCAGGGCTGGACATGAATGCGAGCGCTCCGGGTTTGATGGTTGATTGCTACAAAAATGTCAACATGGCGTCGGCAGCCATTCACAGAGCGCTGTTTTCTAAAATGGAGTCTCGGCGGGGACGGGGGGGGACGGGGGGATGGCGGGGGGGGGACGGAGGGGGACGTGCGTTTGTCCAGAGCTTATGCAACACTTTTTCTGTTTTCTCAAGGGCCCCAAATAAAAGGCGCCGCGAATAATGGACCCGAGAGCGGCCGCTGACAAGTTTGTTCTCCCGCGCACAATCGCGTCTGATGGGGCAGATACGGGACCACCGCGGGGTATTTAAAGAGGGGCGGGGCAGGGCGGGGGGGTAAATCACGGGTTAAAAATACATCAGACTAATAGTTTGCTTCCAGACGCATTTTTGGAGCTGTTCTGTGCTGTAAAGTCGTTTATTTAAGGTCCTAAATTCCACAAAAATTGACCCTTGTGAGCTTTAAGTGATGTTCTAATGTAATCTCCAAGTTCAAATAACGATTAAAGTTTATTTTGGGATAAATAAGTATATTTATTATTATTATTTTTTTATAGAGATTGTAGAACGGCTGAATATAGTTTATTTTGGATACATTTATGTTTTTTCTGTAGCCAGATTCATCAGTCGGTTTCACTTTGTAGAAACCGTGTGACCTCACAGCATTCGTTCGCTCGACAGTAGGCAGGTACTTTTTTTCTTTAATCAATCGCTGCTGTTTGGTCGTGACGAATGTAATGCACCAAATCCCGTAGGAAGAAGGACAATAACGTCTTTCCCTGAGATAAAATTCACCAAACATTCTCTTTGTTCGCTGGAGAAAAATGAAATTGAGCAGAGGCACTAGGTGGCGCCAGCCTGGATAATATGGAGCAGGGCTGTGCAAAAATATTGAAATATCCATGTATCGTATCATTTAATGCAGCGGTGTCCAAACTGTTTTCATCAAGGGCCACATCTCTAAACACAGACAAAGCAGAGGACTGATCGAGGGCCTTAGACCGGACGTACACTGTGCGATTTTTGACCCTTTTTGAGCCGATTTTTCGCTCGTGCGACTGTTTTAGGGATCGGGCCGAGTTTTGGCTTCATCGTGTGTCGTGCTTCGTGTAGTTTACATGGGGTAAAGAAAACCGATTAATGACTCACGACCAGCTCCCGATCGACATTCGTAGGTCGCAAAAAAATCAAACTTGTTTGAAATCCAGTCGCCTCTCGTGAGGATTTCGCTCTGTTGAAGTTGTTCCACGAACCGATTTGCCAGAATCTGGCAGACTGAGCATGCGCGGACGCAGAAGTGGCTCAGCTTTGTGTCTCCGCACATCTGTGGTTTTCTAATTCCGTGGTTTTCTTCTTCGTGGTTTTCTACTTCCGGAACAACAACTGAGATCTAATGTGATGATTCAGTATCGATATCGTGGTCTGCTGTATCGATATATCACTAAGAGGATTTTTTGGTTTATTTTGCTAAATTATTTAGTTCCAGCTACAGTTTTGTTGTTTGTTCAGATGAAGGTTTATGTGACACATTTGACATTTTCACTGATTTGATGATTAATGTTTGTGTTTCATATGAACTTTGCACAAGAAGAAGTGATTTAACAAAGACTTTTAGTATCACAGACATGATTTATCCTTTATTTTTTGTTGAACTGTATTGAATAGATTTGAAATATTATCCTATCATATCAAATCGAAAGCTCACTGTATCGAGATCTGTATCGTATCGATAACTTCTTAGTGATTCCCAGCCCTAATATGGAG